AGGGTCATTGTGAGGATCAAACAGGATAATTGTGAAGCACTTAGTAAGGAGCCTGGCATATAGTGGGTCTATGTAAATGTTAGCTATTATTCTTCTTTATAACCTGACTGAACATCACCTTTCTCATCTACAAAACAGGATTAATGATAATACTAATTATATTTCCTCTTAACTTCCCATAGCTGTTGCGAAAATTAAATGGAATAATCCATGAAAAACACTCAGGTAATGAAAAGGGGCATGCATTGGTTTACTGTTATTACTGATGTGGTAGAAAAGTCATTGGGTCTAGAATTAGAAGCCCTGGATTCTAATCCAGTTCTTCTACTTACCAGATGTTGGACTTTGAAGTCATTTCTCTCTGGGCCTCCAGCAGCCCGGGATAAGAATATTTATTCTACCTACCTTGTGGGATTGCTGTGAGTGCCATTAAGAAAATACATTCAAAGAGCTTCGTAACCTAATTCCTTCTCCCCTCTCAAGACTTCTGTCTTTTCAGCTATAAAATAAGAGGATTGGTCTAAAGGATCTTGAAAGCTCCCACTGCCTTGAAATCGTATGACCTTATCATCATCCCTTCTAATTTCTGCTCCAGAGACAGGGCTCTGCCCATAGGAGGCAGGTTGTCCAAAGGGGTCATTGACTGACTGACCTGGGCTGTTTGTCTTACCAACTGGGCACTATCTGCTGCTGCCATCTCTATTTGTCCTTGGGGATTGGGTTCAATGGGCCTTCTCCCCTTTGAGGTTACCTAAGGGGGTCAGGGTCACAGCCCCAGGGGCTGAGACAGACTTCTATCCATTCTTTTTCTTTCCCCTCCCTCTCCCCTTCCCTTGTGAACTGCAAAGCCGGAAGGTGGTGGTGGGGGAGCTGGTGGGGGTGAAAGCCAGCTGCCAGTTAATCCATCCAACCCCCTGCCAGTGTAGACTGCAGGAAAGAGGCTGTGCTTCCTTTTCTGTTGGTCTTCAGCCCCACCTAGTCCAAACAAGACCAGCTCAGAGAGAACCTGTGAGCTGCTCAGTCCATAAGGGAGGGGGATGGGGAGGAGAGGGGAGCCATAGTCCTCAGAATGCATCCTTCCTTAGTGACTGAGGGAGGGACTCTGACCGAGATTGCCACCTGGAGCAGAGCTTCCCTCTGGGTGGCCCTGTCACAACCGGGGTGTGTGTGCGTGCGTGCGTGCGTGTGTGTGTGTGTGTGTGTGTGTGTGTGTGTGTGTGGTGGGGGGAGTGTTGGGACTGGAGAATATGTGGATGTTGGACCCAGAGAGGAGATGATTTAGTCAGGGCAGAAGGATGACAAAGGAAGCTGTCTACAAGTATTTGAGTCTGTTGTGCGGAAGAGAGATTGGATTTTTCTGCTTGGGTCCCAGAAGACAGAACGAGAAGCATTTGGGGGGGAAACTGCAGTGAGGCAGATTCTAGTTCAACATAAGGAAAAACTTTCTAATCATCAGAACCAGCCAGAACTGGAAATGAGCTGCTTTGGGAGGTAGTGAGCTGTCTGTCACTTGGAGTGGAGGCTGGATGTTATAAGGGGAATCCTATTCAATTACACGTTGAACTGGCTGACATCTGAGGTCCCTTTCAGTTCTCGGATCTCAACTGATTGAGCACATAAGACTCTGGATAAACCAAAGGTCCTTTCTGGGCCTTTATTTCTCCATTTGTAAAGCAGGGAACCTCTTGATAACCTTTAGGAAAAGTATGCAAGTAGCCATGAAGTAACTTTCAAGTCTTCAAAAGAATATTCCACTGGTTTACTGTTTTTATTCTTCCACTCCTACGCTTCTGATGCCTCACTGTGACCTAGAACGACCTTGGAATCCTGAAGGCTCTATCTGCGGAGGGCGCACTCCAAAGTGTGTGGACTTTACCCAGCAGGTGCAGGCCTAGGACAGACTGCTGCATGCCTGCCTTCTGAGAACCAGCCTAGGTTCAGACAGGTACATCACTAGGTTAATCTCAGGGTGATGATTTTTTTTTTTACTATAGCAACTCTCAAAATAGCACCTACCAAGTCGTAGAGGGGTTGTGATTTTCATGGGTGGAGCAAACACCCACCCCAGTTACAGGTGTTGAAGTTGTATTTTTACCATCAGTTCTGAATAGCTGCGGTGCAGCTCTGTCCTAAGACAGGGAGAGGGACTAGGGAACTAGGGAGCCATGCCATCATTTCTGGATGGTCCACATCTAAGGAGCCAGTGGGGAGTTTGGCCAGGGTGCCAGGGGAATGAAGGGAACTTTGTGGACAATCGCCAGGAGGAAGAATGAGCCTTCTAATCAGGTTCTGGTCTGAAGAGCCCAGACTCTGTGGGAGAGGGCAGCAGAGAGGCTGGGTCATGGAAGAAGGGGAAAGTCTGAGCGAGGGTAAAGCTGGGCCAAATTGCTTCAGGGTGGGCTTACAGGGCTGGTTTGGTCTGGTATGCTCAGCTCTGTTTCAGACCCACATAGGGAGGACTGCTCACAAGCGTCCATTTTTCGGGGGTGGTTTGAGGAAAGGGCATCACTCACCTGCTATAATCAATTTAACTGTCTGCCTAATGAATTTTTCCTGACTATACTATGCTCACTTCTGCCACGGTGCTTCTGATCATGTCAATCTCCAGGGTCCTTTCCCCTCCTCCCCTCTGCCTTTCCTGACACTTGAAGTTATGCGAAAATGGGATAGGCTGTCTTGAGGACAAGTCATTGATTGCCTTCAAGCAAGGGTTAGCGGTCCACCACTTGGGTACATAGAAGGGAAGAGTCTCTTTCAGGTAACGACAAGTTGCTAAGCCTCTCTGGGGGTCAGTTTCCCTCAATCATACAATGAAGGCCATGAACTATGACCTTTAAAGTCCCTTGGAGCTCTAAATCCAGAATCCACTGAGGTTCTACTTTCCCACTCTTTCATCATCCTAAGGATCCCTTACAGAACCAGCAGGAATTACAGCAGTTTCCTCTGAGCCCCTGGGCAAAGGGAGCAGGTGATGACTGGTGTCCACAGGGATTTGGAGCTTGTCTCTCTGCTGGATGATGTCAGACAGAGGCTGACATGGATGGGGCTTGGAGTGTATGACATAATCCCAGTAACGACACCTGGCATTCATAAAGCCCTTCCTCATGACGTAGGGTTTTGCCATACACTGTTTCATCAGGATCCCCAGGTCTGGACACCCTGACCTGACCTCCTGATTCATTGAATTCCTTGGTTTCAGTTCCAGTCACACTTTTGGTCAAAGGGCCTGAATTTGGATCTGGAAGGAGCCTTAGAAGTTAGTCCAGTCCCCTTGTTTTACAGATGAAGAAACAGGCCCAGAGAGGATAAGTGATTTCCCTAAGAAGTAAATGGCAGAGGAAATATTTAAACCCGAGATTAAATCCAGACCTTTTATATCACAGAATCCCATGTTTTCCTCCATAGAACTTCAGCTTTAGAAGGGACTTCAGAAGCCATTCAGGCTAACCCATACCCGAAAAAGACCTCTCCCTATGGCAGAGTAAATAGCAGAGCCAGAATTTGAACCTGTCTCCTCCAGACTCAGCCCTCTTCTCCCTGCCTCACAATGAATGCTCCCAAATGGGAGTGTCAAGCCTCGAATGTGACACGCAGAATGGTGAATACGATAGCTCACCAGCTGCCTTTTCTTTGCTTAGCAGCTCCCATCTCTCTAGTGCTGGAAGGGTAACAAAGTGCTCTCCTCATCACCACCTTGCGAGGTCAGCAACACACGGAAGATAAGCCTCACTGCACAAACGAGGAAACTAGGCCTCCCCCCAGAAGCCCGATGCCAGGCCTTAGGATTCTGACGCTTGGGATCTTTCTGCCTCGGAAGGGCCCTCTAGCTGAGGCAGGGAACTCAGCAAGGCTGCCATCTCCCCCATTCTATACACCAGAGTTCTATTAATGCAGCCTAGAATCACACCAGATTTCATCTATTTATTTTGGGGAGAGGGAAGAAGAGGAGAGCCTCTTGGTATAACACCAAAATTCTAGACACTGATATTGCATAGATTTCTTCTACAACCTCAGACTCCACCTTCAATCCCAGGCTAAGACTCTACCTCAAAACTGGTCGCCCAGCTCCTATTCTGTTCTTACCTGCTATGGGTCGCAGAAGAGGCCGGGGAATGTGAAGAGTTCGATCAACCCAGCCCCCACTGCTGACCCAGTAACTGCCCTGCAAAGGGCTCGTCAACTATTCCTTCATGTACAAAGATATTTGCTCTCTCATTTGGAAAGACAAAAGACAGGAGCACCCAGGGCACACACTGGCCTGGCTGGTTTAGTTAGCAGAAATGGACTGTTGTTGTGAGCTGTCTCTGTGTGTGTGTGTGTGTGTGTGTGTGTGTATGTGTTGGGACAGTAGGAGGAGCATGGTCTAGTGTGGCAAGAGTCTAAGTCAGAAGACCTCGACTGGAGTCCCAGTTCGGACATTTGTTACTTGTTTTTGTTGCTGTTTATGTTAATCAGCTGTGCCTGGCTCTTTGTGACCCCATTTGGGGTTTTCTTGGCAAAGATCCTGGAGTGGTTTGCCATTTCCTTCTCTAACTCATTTTACAGAGGAAGAAATTGAGGCAAACAGGGTGAAGTGACTTGACCAGGCTCACACAGCTAGTGTCTGAGGCCAAATTTGAACTCGGGTCCTCCTGACTCTAGGGCCAGCACTCTCTCCATTGCACCACCTTATTATTTGAGTAACCTTGATTAAGTCACAACCTCTCTGGCCTTTATCTGTAAAATGGAGGAACGGATGACTCCGATGGTTGTGGGGATAATCAGCATTACCAGTTGTAATGGGAGCCAAGTGGCTCATAACAGAACAGGAAAAGACAAAACAAATGTCAAGAGGAGATGGGAGGATTTTAAAAATCCTATTTGCCCAGGGCCACTGAATATAGGGACAAATATTCCTTTCTACCTCTTGGGGGGCATCACTATTTGGGTAGCATAACTCAAATCCCTGGGTTATTATGAAGACGTCATTATGTTCAGTCATCCCCACTCTGCTTTCCCAGCTCAACTTCTCCAGTGCCTCACTCATCAAGACATCGGGGTCACGTCCGTGGCAGATCCCACCGTGCCCAGCACCTGCTGTCCGAGGCCCAGCCTACTTAAGTGTGGAGAGGCTCCTTGCTGTGGCCCCCCACACACGCCCTGGCCCCCTCCAGGAAATCACCTTTGGGGGCCACATCTACTGAGGGAGGGAGCAAGGACCTGCAGTCTTCTGCCAGTGGAGAAGTGCAATCTTCCATCTGCATTGATGTAACTAAAAGATGTGTTTGAAGTCATGCCACAGACTCTAACAAAGAAGGCAATAATAGCGTGTGATATATATTGTAGGATGGTTTCCATAAAAATTATTTAAACTTTAAAAAAAATCACTGGCTAAGCTTCAGTTATCTGGAAAATCCGCTCTTTTCCTACACAGCTCATTCCCTAACAAAGCCCTAAGGGCATATGTGCTTGCTAATGAAAGGATGAGGTGAACTAAGTTTGCAGTTGTCCTGCTCCCTGTATCAACATTTAAATAACAGCTCTGCACCATTTTTAATTAAAATTCACATTTCTATAGTGCTTCAGGGTTTACAAGGCGCCTCACACACTATGAAGTAGAAAGCTTCAATGTTCCTCTTTCCATGTTACAAACAGGAAAACAGGCCATAGAAGACAAGTTTGCAAGGGTCGTACAGCTAGTAAATGGCAGGGCTGGATTTGAACCCAAATCTTCTGATTTCTTCTACTACACCATGCTACCTCTCACAAGAATTGGAGGGGGACACAGACCAGATCCTCCCCCAATAAGATGCCTGCTGACCCAGGCACCTCTGACCCCACCAACCCTCAAAAAGAGCTCTGATCCAAGCATATGGCTCTCACTACAATTGGGCACTTCCAGGGCCAGATTTCACACACAATGTTTCTGTCAGAAGAAAGCTCTGTAAATTCCTTGAGGAACTCAGTTCCTGAGCATCTGCTTCTCCCACGTCTCGGGCTTGGCTCCTGAGGTGGCCTCAATTTGAAAAGGCTCACTCCCGTTTGAACACTGGAAGTCCCTACAACAAGGCTGGTCCTCTGGGGCCTTGGCTCTCACTCCTCACACCTCCCCAAACCCCGAGAAGCCAGGCTCTTCTGTCACAATATCCCTAACACCAAGGGCCCCGTGGAGGGAGGTCTGCAACACTTGGACCACCAGCTGTTTCCCACTCTGCCTGCTGGAGAAGCCGAGAGGCCAGGTTCTGCCTTTGCTCTAGACACAGTCCTCACCCCACCCCCTTTTGGTTGGGTACTGGGCTCAGACTGATGAGGTAAATATAGCTTCAGATCATATCTGTGGAGTGGGGGTAGGGAGGACTCTGCCTCCTTTCCTGGAGGATGGAAGAGAAGAAAGGAAGACAGAAGGTAAAAGCAGGTCCAGATGGTTTCCCATCTTGGTTTAATGTAGATTTGAAAGAGAATATTACAATATATATCATTTGGCAAATACATGAGTATTCATTTTTGTATGATTTCTCATCAATAAACACCAAAGCATGGTATAGATCACAGTGGAAAAATGGAGTCTGAGCTTACAAGTTATTTCACAGCCTTAAAACAGAGACCAAAAGGAGTCTGGAAAAGATAGCGCCTCGATGTCAATCATGACCCATCCCAGCGAGGTGCAGGCCCCTGAATCTAGTGACAACCCAGGCTGCTCCCCAGGCTCTTCCAGAGGGCCAAGGGAACCAACTGACTTCTGTTAATAGTGGCTGGTACAAGGGGCTGCTTAATAGACTATTATTGTTCTTGTCCTGGGTTCACCCTCCTCCTGATGATTTCCAGCTGAGGGTGTTATTGGAGAAATCTCAGGGCATTGAAACACCAAATACTCCAGATTTCAGCTCCTTTCCCTGTCCCCCCAGGAACAACGTGGCCCGGGTCCATTCATTCTACAAGTACTTTCAAGGAATTATGTGCCCAGCACTGTGCTAATCATTATGCAGATTAAGTATAAGGTGAGGTCTATCCCTGTAAAGGAGCTCACAGGGGGCAGCTGGTGGTGCAATGGATAGAGCACTGGCCCTGGAGTCAGGAGGACCTGAGTTCAAACCCAGCCTCGGACACTTGACACTTACTAGATGTGTGACCCTGGGCAAGTCACTTAACCCCATTGCCTAGCCAGAAAAAAAAAGAGTTCTCTAAAGGAGTTCACAGTCCAAAAATTAAAGTGCTCTGATTTCATCGAATATCTTTGGGGAGGAATAAAGGCACAGACCACAGCTTTAGAACCGAAGGGGACCTTAGAGGTTGTCAAGTCCAATACCCTCATTTTACAGATGAGAAAGGGAGATGTGAAATGGCTTGCTGGTGTCACATGGCTGGTGAGTGGGATCTGAGAGGCTGAGGAGAGGGGACGAAGTCGCCACCTGGAGAAGTGGTCAGTTTCCTTCCCTCAGGGCATTAAAGACAGGACAGAGCCCATCAGGAACTGTCTGAGGCTCACTGACTAGGACAGCTCTTTCCAAAGACAAAGGGAACGGACTAGCCAACCCCTGACAGTCTCTACACGCACTTCTGCAATGCTGCCTGTGGTTGGAGAAAACAGTGTTCTCAAACATGTGAAGTGGTGTGAGATCTGGACATAGTGACTGTGCTCCCGACTAAGTGTTCTTAGGTCACAGTAACATGGAAGGAGAATAATCAGGGACTTTCAGGGGCCTTTCGGAGGCCTTGTGTATAGCCCTCTCAACAGCTAGCCTAAAGCAAGTTCTGGTGGAGACACACAGAATAAGGAGGGTTATACCCACACTGGGGACTCCAGAGGAGAGAATCAGGATGAATAGAAGCAAATTACAAAAAGGAACATTCCAATTTAACATAAGGAAAAGCTTCCTGAACACTCGAGTTGTCTAAAAATGGCCCAGTCTGCTTTAGGAAGCAGTGAGTTAACTCTCCATCTTTGGAAGCATTCAAGCAGAGTCTGGAAAGCCATGTAGCAGGAATGTTGTAGGAGGAGGCCTTGCACCAGGCAGAAGGGCTGACTAGACACCTCTAGATTTCCTTCCAAGTCCCTTCCCAACATGTGCTACAAATCAGTGAGAGCTCTGCCCTGACCTGGAAGCACAGAAGTCGCTCTAGCAGCTGATTGGGGTTGCTGGCTAGAGATAAAGCTCCAGGTCCCCGGCCTACCCCCGTCCATGTGTCCCCCTCACGGTACCAGGCTCCTGGATTTCCCATCTGCCCACTGCCTGGTGCCAAGGGATCTCCAAGTTCTACATGTGAGTTTCAAATCAGCAAAAGTCAAAGATCAAAGTGCCTAATCCCTTCAATCAGCAGCATGATTACTTACTCTTGTCTTGAACTATCCTGTTAGAAGCTTTCTAACAAGAGACCATGAATTTGGCAATTTGGGTCAATCCCACCCAAACCAAAAGAGAAATTCGGCTCAAGTCACTGTTTGCCAGATGGCCAATGTCTTTAGAGACTGCTCAGATGGTGTGGGGCCCCCGGGGCCACAGATGGTCCGACGCCTTCGATGAGGCTGTCCCACTGATCATAATCTTCCTTCAGCTCTGTTGGGGGGAAGGGAACAGGTCAAAGATCTGTGCCATGGTGGAGGAGATGATAATGACCGATCATTGTACAGGGGTCTGGAGAATGAGGCATGTTCACCAATGGCAAGGACGCCCACCCCAATCCAGCTCCATTCCAAGTTGATGGCCTTATGCGCAACACTGCAGACTAACTCAACGGCTCGTGCCACACTTTGTGGCCTCACCCCATGACTTCCTGTACATGGAAGGCCCTCTCTGCCCCCTTTCCTCCCTGTCCCCACCTCCACCTGCTGAATCCTGCTTCCAGGCCCTTCTCCAAGGAAGCTTCCCTTAATCACACCCTCCTCCCCACCTGAAATAACCTTCCTCACACCTAACAAAGAATCTTCTTTGTCCCACCCTTCTGTCCTAGTTTGCACTATGCTTTCTGTGTATGTGTTCTGTCTTCTCCGGCAACTGTAAGCTCCTTCAGGATGGGAGTTCCCTTCATGGAAACTTTCCTGCTCTCCACTGTCAGTCCACCTTATATAGGACCACAGGCTCACAGACTGAGAGCTGGAGGGGAACTTAGAGATCATTTAGTTCAACCTCCTCATTTTATAGATGAGACTGAGGCCCCAGGGATCAGGGGACTCACTCAGGGTAACACAGCTAAGTGGCAGAGCTGGGATTTGAACTCAGAGCAGCCTTCTTTCTGCTCCACAGGCTGCGCACATCCTCCTCCCCTTTCACCTCCCCAGGTGCACTGTTTGCACTGAAAGTATTACTCTTCTTACTGCAAGGATGGGTTTTCTCCCTCTGCTACACAGAAGGAGCTGGACTTTGCCTAACCCGGTATCCCCCCACCCCCACCCCAGGGCCTAGCTGGGGCTCTGGCCAGAGCAGACACTTGGTAAACGTCTGCTGCGCAGCAGACGGGAGGGGAGCTGCCTCCCCAAGGTCAGCAAGCAGAAGGTGACTATCGGCTGTGAGAGATAACAAGTAGAGGTGAAGTGCAGAGGGTTTCCGGGCTCAGCACAGTGCCTGGCACACAGGAGCCACTTAACAAATGTGCACTGACCACTGACTGACTGCGATGCGTTTCAGGCAGTTTGTGGTAGCCTCAGAAATCCTGCCGAGGACTGCAGCCTGCCCCTCGTGGGGGGTGACGACGCAGCTGCAGAATGAGGCATGACCAGCATAATGATAACAGCTAACATTTAAGGCCTGCAAAGAGCTTTACTACATGTTCTCTCCTTCGATACAGTGAATTGCTTGACGTTCCACACTTTGTTACAAGGGGAAGGAGGGAGGCAACAGAAAGCAACAGTGAAAAGAGCACAGATAAAGCATGAAAAATGGCTGGACCCCAGGTTTCTGGCCTTACCTCACACTCAACATGCATCCCACTCCTAATCACATTTTCCTTTTTCCCAAAAATCTCGGAGCTCCCAGTCCTTCCCACATAAGTCAGCATCTGCTGGGAAATGCAAGGCCTTGCCTCTTCCTTTCTCTGGACTGCCTCCCTACCCCTCTCACAGCCCCCTCCCCACTCCCTTACCAAGGTGTTTCTGCAGGAATGCCAGCATGGCCTGTACCATGATCTCCTGACCCTTGTACGGGTCCAGCTTCCCTCGAGTTTGGGTAGAGAAGAGTTTGCCGAGCAGATTTCCAGTCACGAAAGTGAAATCACTTTGACTCTGATGAACAGAACCACTAAAAGGGAAGAAAACCAAACAACTGCTTTAGAGAAGTGACGCACATCACAGAATCATAGAAGGCTGCGGCTGGCAGAGCTCTTAGGAAATGGAACATTTGATCTGGAAGGAGATTTTAAAACGGAGGCGTTGAACTGGCGGCAGGCTGGCCTCAAGGGGAATCAGACTAAAATGTAATTGGGAAATGTTGAACAAAATAAATAAAATGACAGTACAACATAATGTGAAGCTGTGCTTTTCTAAATCAGTATCTACACAATCCATTTCTATTTGAGTGTGATACCTTGTTTTAGAACATAGAATGTCAAAACTGGACGAAATCTTAAATAAAACACAGAAGGAAGGAAGCTTAGAACATGCAATATAAGAACAAGCATGTCCATTAATAAATACTAGAAAGGAAGCTGAAGACATACAGAGTTTGATTAGGTGCTTAAAAAAACCCCAAAGATGTTTGTTCATAATAAACAAATCACATGGCAAAAAACTGCCTTAGAAGAAGGAAAAGGTAGGGGTGCTGGGGAACTGGCTAAGCTCTCCAACACATTTTATTAGTGCATCATCATGTTTTAAGTCACTGGTATTGATGAATGACTTATTCCAAGCATTTTCAAATTGGTCTGTGATGCTGAGAATGTCAATGGTGACAAGGCTCAGTTTCTCCAACAGGACATCCACTTGTTGGTCAAAAAATTCATGACTAAGCAGCCTCCTCATGGTGAGTTTCTCCATACATGGCTGGACTGGTCCTCAGAGAGAATCTGGTATCTTCTCAGGGCCAGGCTTAAAACCTTTCCGGCATGGAAGAACCTAGTATGATTTGTGCTTCCCTCAGAGAGCCTCTGAGGACCAAGGGTCATCTCACTGCCATGATGAGGCATCCCAATGGCATTTGCCCACACATAGCAAAGCCGTTATCACCACTTTTCTGCACAGGTACACCACCAGACAAACAGGAAGTAGAGACCTTATTTGACAGATGAAGAAAGTGAAGACCAGTGCAGGGTAGTGAGTCAAAGTCCCACCATGGGTTATCTATCTCGTAGATTGACTTTTCTCCCTCTGTGTACACACACAGGCTGTCCCTCAGGCCTGCTGTCCAGTCATGTCCTCTCCCTCTCTCACCTGACTTCCTCCCAGGCATAGCCCAAGGACTGCTCTCTCCTCTGTAAGATCTTCCCCAATTCCCCCAGTTAGGGTCCCTTGATACACCTGCACTATCCTTATGTGTGGACATGTTGTAGCCTCCTAGTAGAATATAAGCTCCTCGAGGGCATGGACTGCTCTGTTTTTGTCTTTGTTTGCCCAGTGAATAGCACAGTGACTAGCACACAGTAGGTACTTAATGCCTGTTGTGTTTTACTTTTCAACCAGTTGCTTTGGTGCCATGCCATGGGCTCCAAGCAGCCTTACCTTATTAGCTAGTGGGTAGTGTCTAGGTTTGGGCTGCTAGGTGGTGCATGGATGGAGAACAGGGCCTGGAGTCAGGAAGACTCATCTCCCTGAGCTCAAATCTGGCCTCAGACACTCACTAGCTGTGTTACCCTGGGAAAGTCACTCAACCCTGTTTGCCTCAGTTTCCTTATCTGTAAAATGAGAAGGAGAAGGAAATGGCAAACCAGTCCAGTATCTTTGCCAAGAAAACTCCAAATAGGGTCATGAACAGTCAGATGTGACTGGAAAACAACTGAGTCCAGGCTAACATGAGTTAAGGAAAGCATACAATGTTGCATCTTATGTTTCTCTCAGAAGACTCACCTGAAGTACCAAAGGGGAGTGAAGATTAATTACCTGTGAATTCTCACCAGAAAAATCTCCTTCCCTGACTACTAGCCCACCTTCTGCACAAACTCCACTGGCTGATGCTCAGAAAGTAGCAAGCTAATCATGCCACAGGACTGAAGATGAGGACACATAAGCTACTGCTGAGTGGGGCTCACAGACTCAGAATGCTGAGCAGAGTGGATCCCATAAAACGGGTATCCAGGTAAGGTCCGCACCTCTAAGTATGGGGGAATTAGAGCTGCTCCCAGGGCCAGAGACGGAGATTATAAACCATGAGGAAGAGACAGAGACATCAAGGGGCACAGGGGGCCTGAAGGGAGGACAAAGTACCCATGGGCTCCTATCATGAATCCCATGCACCAGGGAGCTGGGGTGAGACACGGATGCTGAGAAGCAGGGCCATGGAGCTTTCCTCTGCTGAAAGTGGAGAGTTTGGTGCAATTGGGGACCACTTGGGGAGTGGCAAGACAGTCCTGAAGATGAGCCAGCCCACTAACCTTGCCCTTGTTAGTACGGAGAATTACATGGCTTATAGAGGTCACCAGGGAAGGTGGCAGCCACCAGAGGGGAAGGCTGCTTGATGCCTTCCGGAAGGGCAAGCAGAATGTTTTTTGTGGATGAGGGGCTCAAGTATGAGTCATTCTGCTCTTCTAACATCTGCCTGAGGACCTGCAGGGGAGCTGAGCGAAATGAGCCAGACGCTGACGTTCCAACAGTTTCTTTGGGCAGTGGTACAAACCAGAGAGATCAGGCAAGAGGAACCGGCCAGACCCCGGATGTTCCCAAGCTTTCCTGGGTAGAGGCACAAGCTACAGAAATGGTGTGTAATGGGCCGTGGAAAAATTGTAGCCAAGTTCTTGTGCCAAGGGAGATGCCTTGATACTATGGTTACGGTTAAAAGTCAGAATGTTAAATTGGAAGGGACTTAAGAACACAGAATGTGAAACAGAAGATGGAGAGCTGAGAGGAACCTTGTTCAGTTCAGTCATTTTTCAGTCGTGTCCGACTCTCTGTGACCCCATTTGGGGTTTCCTTGGCAGAGATACTGGACTGGTTCATCATTTCCTTCTCTAGTTCATTTTACAGATGAGGCAACTGAGGCAAACAGGGTTAAGAGACTTTCCCAGGGCAGCACAGCTAGTCAGTGTCTGAGGCCAGATTTGAACTCAGGGAGATGAGTCTTCCTGACTACAAGCCCGGCATTCTATCTACTGCGCTACCTAGCTTCCCAGAGGAACCTTAGAGATCATCTAATCCACAATAATGTCTTCTAGCTCTCATATCCTATGTTCTTTAGTCTCCTCATCTGCCAAGTGGGCAGATTAGACTCTAAGTTTTTGTTATTGTGACTATTGCTACCTGGGGCCCAGAGGGGTGACCTCAGTATAGTTGGGCCTAGAACCCAATTCTTAGTCCAGTGTTCTTTCCATCATACCACTTAAGGCCAGGTACAGAATTTTATATGGATCCTACAGTGTTCCAGGAGGCTCCCAGTTAGTTCCATTAGAGATGGATCCAAACGCTTTGTAGAAAATCCCAGGAAAATGGAAGATGCCAGAGAGCTGGCTGGAACATGATTGTGATTATGATTATTACTCACAGGATGGTTATGATCTTGGTCTGGCTGTGACGAGCACAGATCTTCTTCATTCGGCTAATGCTCTCAGCTGTCTGGAAGCTCTCAGTGTTGATGAAGAAGACAGGGCCCCCAGCCTTGGGGTAGAAGTTGTGTTCCAGAGGAAACATCCAGGCATCCAAAGCTATTGCACACCTAGAATGAGAGCACACATCTGGAAACGGTGGCTAGCTGTTCTGGAACCCAGGCCACAGAGTTGTAGGGCTTACCTTTTACAGACTGGGAGCGGGAAACGCTATCTATAAAGGGAATTGGAGGCACCTGCACCTACCTGTAGTTGGGTGACCACCTTCAATTTTATTCTAAGCTTCCTTGTCAAAATGTAGCCTCCTTGAAGGCAAAGCCCAGAGGGACCTTTCTTCTGGATCTGTCACATAAAGGGTGCTCAATATAGCTTGGAGACTGAGTCATGGGACATGTTGTGGCATCTCCAAGGAGCTCAGCCACCAAGAACCATGGGAAGCTGGCCAAAGAAAACATCAACCTCAAAGGGAGGGGGTAAAAGAGGTCCAAAAAGAAGGGAATGGTCCCAAACTCCCAAGAACTTAGAGAGTTCATTTCTCTCTTTTCTACTGTGGGCCTTTCCAGGCTCTGGTTCCAGTCATGCCAAGACCATAGTATCAACAATAAACTCACCGAAAACAGGCATCCTTGGTCAGGGCTAGAATGGCTGTTGACCCTCCAAATGAGTGCCCCATCACTGCCACCCTAGACAGGTCGATGCTGCCCTGAGAATAGGAGGAAATGCCTTAGCTAACCAATAGCTAACGTGTTCCTTCTTCTCCAGGTATTAGAGAGGGAGAAATAGGAGAGGAGGCAACCCTGGCCACAGGCACAGAAGGAGGAGGGTACTCCAACTGGTATCCACTTAAACTTGTACCTGAACAGTAATTACTTTTGCTACATTCCTGATAAGTGACAATGTCAAACCTCTGCTTCATATCCAGTGATGAGGTTATCACTTATTAATTCCTCAAAGCAGCCCCCTCTTCTTCTCAGCAGCTCTAATTGTTAGGACCCTCCACTGAGGGCAGAGCCTCAATCAACCCTCTGGGGCCCAGGGGTGGGGACCTTTGACTGAATCCAAACTTCACAGAACTTTGTTCAGATTCAGTCAAAGGGCCACAGTTGAGGCCCTGATGCCACAGGTGCCGCACCCCTACTCTGAGCTAAGCAACCCTTATATGAAGAACTGCTTGGAGGCTCAGAGTGTCTCCTTTACCAGATGAGGGGCTCCCCCAGGGGAGGAAGCAGGAGTTCTTCATCAGCCTACCTTTCTCTGGACCTCTACCTGGTCCAGGGGTAACAGTGGTAGAGACTGACACATGAATAAAGCTGACGATGGACTGGGCTCTTCTGTTTCTCAGTCCACTTGACTCACAGGACTGTGGCTGGCTGGTATGAGGAAGTCAAGCTGGTCACTTAATCCATTCTAGAAACCCCACTCACCCAACTGCCTAGGGAATTCTCCAGCCAGCTTTGACCACATATCCATAAATGTGGGTCTTATCACTCTTTTTAGAAATCTGGGGAGTGGGGCAGCCAGGTGGCACAGTGGATAGAGCACTGGCCCTGGAGTTAGGAGGTCCTGATTTCAAATCCGGTCTCAGACACATGATACTTACCAGCTATGTGACCCTAGGCAAGTCACTTAACCCCTTTGCCTAGACAAAAAAAAAAAGTGGGGCAGCTAGGTGGCACAGTGGATAGAGCACCGCCCCTGAAGTCAGGAGGACCTGAGTTCAAATGCGGTCTCAGACCAATCACCTGACACTTACTAGCTGTGTGACCCTGGGCAAGTCACTTAACCCCAATTGCCTAAAAAAAAATTTTTTTTTAAATTAAAAAAAAAAAGGTCTGGGAAGTTTCTCTGTGAAAGATTTAGTCCCTGAACCTTCCCTTTAACATGTATCCCGTGTTCCATGCTTACAACAATTGATTTGCCAATGTGTGACCAACCAGTTTTAGCTTAAAGAAAAGAACACTGTTAACACTTTAAACTGAAGCATCAGACCCAGAGTACAAAGGGACCTCAAAGGTCATCTAGTTCAGCCCCTATCTGAATCAGAAAGCCCCTCACCAATATCCCAGACATCTGTCATTCAGCCCCTGCAGGAAGATTTTCAGTGATGGAGAAATCACTGCTTCCTAAGACCATTTATTCTACTTCTAGATGATTCTAATTGTTAGGAACTTTCTCCTTACACTGAGATGTTATCTCTAGTTTCATATATCTGAAAGCAGATGGATCACACTGGTCCTGCTAGACCCAGAAGGGAGGACCAGAGATAACAGGGAAAGTTACAGGGAGGCAGATTTTGCCTCAATATAAAGGACTCTGAAAATTCTACTTCTGTTGACTCTCTCTTTCATTCTTATCAGAGACTTCACTCCAAAGCTTTCCCTCCCCTCCTTAAATCTCTAACAATAGCTCCTCTCACACTTACCTTCTCACCGGCACACGAACAGACCTCTAATTTACAAAGAGAAACTGGAACCATCCAACATCCTTACCTCCACTCTTCTATTCCCCAGAACTTATCAGCATCAACAGCCCTCTCACCTCCTTCCCCAGCTAACTAAAAAAGTACCTCTCTACCTCTGGCATTAATCTCATTCTCGCCTGCCCCCTTTAAGACTTTGCTTTGTCACTAATTTCCTCTATCACATACTTTTAATCCCCCCTCCATTGGCTCCTTCCCATCTGTGGACACACACCCTCATGTCTCTTCAACCTTAAAAACTGCCTTTCCTTGACCCCATCTGCCTACTCTCCCATCTTTTTCCTTCTCTTTAATGTCTTACTTCTTGCAAAGGTTATTTACACCCAATACCTCTACTCCCTCACCACCCATTTTCTTGTCAACTCCTTGCAACCTGGTACATACTCCCCCTACTAAAAGGTAACCAATTATTTAATCATTAAATCCAAGGGCATTTTTTTTCTAGTCCTCATCCTCCGAGACCTCTCTGTAGTACATGATTACCCCCTTCCTACCAATCCTTTGACTTTGGGAGGGCCACACTCTCTGGTTGTCCTTCTACATCTCTAACTGTTCCTCCTCTGTTTCCTTCTCCTCCTGACCCTCTGTGACGTGGCTGCGTCCCAGAGTTCTGCACAATCCATCCTTCTCTCTGTACTGTCTTCCTTGGCATATATTCCCCACAACTTCAATTACCACTTCTATGACTGCAGAACCTTTAGGTGCAAGCTTGAGTTTTCTTCTGAACTCAACTGAGTATCTTTATTTGGATGTCCCACCAGCACCTCAAACTCAACATGTCTAGAATGAAGCTTATTATATTTGTTGCTATTTATACAGCCTTCCGTGTTCTTCTTGGTCCTTCATTTCTCATATTTAGTCAGTTATCAGTTCTGCTTCCAAAACATCTGACTTCTACCTCATACCTCAATCTTATGATCAATGTCTTCTGCCACCACCACAGTGCAGGTCCTTATGACCATCAACCTACACTAGTGAAACAGCCTCCTCAAAGGTCTTCGTCTTCCCTTTGTGGGTACTAGAAAGATCTAGTCAAATCACTCCCTTGCTCAATAACCTTCAGAGGCTGCCTGTTTCCCTTGGATTTTATTTCAGACTATTTATCTAGTATTCCAGGTGTCTACAATCTAGTGTCCCTCTACCTTTCTGACCTTATCTCATGTTAATCTCTTTCATGTACCCCACATTCCAGCCAGACTAGATTGTTACTCAGTTCAGTGATATGATATTTGGAAAACGCTCAGCACTGTGCCTGGCACATAGTAGGTGCTCCATAAATGCTTATTCCCTTCCCCCTTCTCTCTTCACTCTCCCACCTTCACCTGTGCTCATGTTACTCCCCAAGGCTCTGATGCTCTCCTTCCTACTTGTCACCTACTGAATTCAGACACATCCTTTAAAGCCCAACTCAAACGCTACCACTTTGCCAAGCTGCCCCCAACACACACACGCACACACACACATACACATACACACACACACACACACACATGCACAAACGCACATGTATATACACACACACACACACACACACTCCCCCTGGCCTCTCTTTTCCCACCTGTCTAGCAAACAGGAAGCCAAGCCCAGAGACTCTAGGGGTCTCTGGGCATTATTGTTGCCCTCAGATATCCTATGAGAGTTTGTCTGTGCCTCTCAATTATACTTCACGTGTAAACTGTACGCTCTGATTATCTGTATTTGTGCTCCCTGAAAACTGGGACTCTGTCATATTTAAACTGTACCCCCACCCTGGCACCAAGCACAACGCTCTGCATTCAGCTGTGCTTTGTAAATGTTTGCTGAATTACTGAGGAATCGAGTTTTGAATCGAACTCTAATGAGCAGTACCCAAAAGGGGACTGGCCTGCTTCACGAGGCAGTGAACTCCCCATTGCTGGAGGTCCCCAGCGGTGCCTGGGTGGCCATTTGCTGGGAGATTATCAAAACAAGATGCCCATTCCAGTACTGGTTGTACCAGATCCCTCCAGTCCCTTCCAGCTGACATTCTAGGACTCACTTTGCACAGCACCTGGTATATGGTAGGTGCTTAATAAATGCTTGTTGCCTTGACAAGACATGTTTCCTTGGAGGAATTCAGGCCAATGCCTTTAAGGGGAGTAGGCATGAAGGACTAAAGACCAAATATCCCCTCCAGGATCCTCTGGTGTAAACTGGTAGCCACTGTACCTTCAGAGTCCTTAGATCCAACCCGCCAGGTAGGATGTTGGAGACACTCTGGCCCGTGGTAATGTCCTGCAGGATCTTCAACACCCGAACACACTCGTTTGCTCGCTGATGCACCTGCAACAGGTATTTTTCCTGGTGAGGCCCATCATATGATGTCCCTCCCCACCCTGAAGTAACTGGCTTGATTCCCAGGGGCCTGAGAAGGCCAAGACTCCCCCAGACACTGGGACTCTGTGTACAAGTAGCCAGGGTGGTTCACAGTGTTGGCCCTGGAATCAAAGGCCTGAATTCAGGTCCTGTCTCTGATATTTACTCCCCGGGACACTGTCCAAGGCGTTTTACTTCTCCCATCTGTAAAATGGTGAGAACAGGAGCCACACTTTTCTATCTTAAAGGGCTGCTGGGGAGAAAGCACTTCATAAAACTTACAGGGCTCTGGACATATTAGTTATCAGTACCACCCAAAGATGTATCCATGTGGAGGGGAGGTAACATGGAAGCCAGGAAGAGCCTGAAATCCAATAGGAAGAGTCTGAGTTTCATATGGTCAGCGAGACACATTCACTGTAGGTTCTAAGTTATGGAAGCAACATTATTTAGGATGATCACCCTAAAGTTCAAAGCCTAAGTTAGCCACACATGGAGAAAGCAACTACTATGTACAGGGTACTGTGTTAGTATGTACAGCAGCTCTTTCTGTGGTGGCAAAGATTTGGAAACTGAGGGGATGCCCATCAACTGGGGAATGGCTGAACAAGTTGTGGAATAGGATTGTGAGGGAAGACTACTGTGCTATAAGAAATGACAAGGGGGAGGATTTCAGAAAAACCTGGGAAGACTTACACGAACTGATGCAAAGCAAAGTGAACAGAGCCAGGAGAATATTGTACACAGTAACGACAGTACTGCAAGGAAGATCAACTGCGAAAGACTTAGCTCTTCTCAGCAATACAAAGATCCAAGACAATTCTGAAGGACTCATGATGAAAAATGCTATCCACATCCAGAGAAAGAACTGATGGAATCTGAATGCAGATCAAAGTACGTGCTTTTTGCTTTCTTTATTTTTCTTGGGTTGTTTTTATGATTTTTTGGTTTGTGTTTTCTTTTGCAACATGGCTAATATGGAAATATATTTGGCATGACTGCACATGTATAATCTATATGAAATTGCTTGCCTTCTCAAGGAGGAGGGAAGGTAGGGAGGAGAGAGAGGCCTTAGAACTCAAAAATTATAAAAACCGTCACTTAACCCCGATTGCCTCACCAAAAAGCAAAAAAAAAAATACAGAAACTGAATGCTAAAAATTGTTTTTACGGATAATTAAGAAAAAATAAAATAAAAATATTCTACAAATGTAATTAGGAAATATTTAACAAAATAAATGAAAACACAATAGAACACAGATAATGTTAATATGTGGTTTTCTAAATCAATATGTGGCCCACAGGGATCCTTATGCATGGATTTAGTAGTTCTGTCCTACTGGAGTTGGACACCTCTGCACTAAGTCAGGCCACCTCTCATGTCCCTGCCCTCAGGGAGCTTACATCCTACCAGAGGACACAAAATGTATGTAAATAAGTATAGTATGAGGTAAACTGAGGGAGAGAGACAACACTAAGTGATGGAATCAAAGACAATTTCACAGAGCTGAAGATTTTCCCAGGCCTGGAAGAAGGTCAAAGATTCTGAGAGGCAGGGATGAGAACGGAGGGTGTCCGTGTGGTAGAAGCCCAGAGACGGAAAGCTTAAGGACACCTAGGCTGTGACAAAGTTCAAGGAGTTCAGCAGCTAGTCAGGCTGTGCCAGGACTTCAATGCCAGGTGAGGAATCAGTCACAAAGAAAGAGAGCAGAGTAAAAGGGACAAAAGAGGTCAGCCTAAAGGCCATGAACTGTCTTCTGAGGGCCCTGGTGCAGAAGAGGGACAGGCCCATATACTATGTAGTTGCTCTGGCATCTGTCTGTGTAGAGGCTGGATTGAAGAGGGGAGGGAATGGAAGCAGGGAGACCAGTGGGGAGCCTTCTGCAACAGCAGGCAAGAGCCGACAAGTTCTAAATTTGGGGAACGGTGGGGAGGAAAGCAAAAGAGTCCAATGTGAGAAATGTTCAAGAGGCAGAATCAAGGCTCGTGTTCTACTACACATTTGCCATATTCTAATTGGCAGCATATTGAATCTGCATACACGTCTGAGCAAAGAAACTTGGCAGGTCTCTGAGAACAGATGGCTTCCCATCTCCATCCCACCCCCACCCGGAGGTGACTGCTGGGCTGCCCTCCCAGAGGAGGGTATGCTGGCAGAGCCTGCCCAGCATGGAGGCAGGATTCACTTTAACACCATGGGAACTGAGTGCCACCAGAGTGAATGAGCAGGAATTCAACAGGTAAGGAGAAGAAGAGAAGATATTCTAAGAGCCTCTCATTCATGTACAAGGAAGGGCCTTCAGGACTAACAAAGAATCTGTGCTTTGAGGGAAGCAGAGCGTGAGCTGGGGGGGCTTTCACAATTCACCCACTGCCCCCCAAACCACCAGATTCCCTCCAGGTGCCCTGTTATTTTTTATAAATTTTGCACATATTTATGTATTTATTGTCTCCTCCAATAAAATATATGCTTTTGGGGGCAAGAAATGTTTTATCTTTTGTCTCTGAATCCTTAGCACCTAACACAGTGCTGGAAGACAATAAGTATTGATAACTGCTTGTTGATTGAGTGAATGAACTAACCTCCCTGGCTCCTGGGCTTGCTACCACTGAGCTTCCCCTTTCCTAGCTCCACTCTTTTCTGACTCAGATTGAATTCCCTTAGGGTAGGTTCTTCCTGCCTTTCTTCCCTTACCTTCTGGAGGTGATGATCAGCTAATCTAGTAATATGGCTATACTAATGTGCTAATTCAATTCAACAAACATTTATGAAGTGATTGCCATGAGCCAGGCTCTGTCCTTGGGGCTGTGGTGACAGAGAGGTTAAGGACTGTGTCCACAACACAGAGGGCTTCACTCTCACGGGAAGGGGCGGTTTCAACCCAGGTGCCAATGAGCACGATATGAAGGAGAATGAGACAAGCACGCAGGCCAGGTCCAGGTAAAGTGCTACTGGCATGTGAGGAGGGAGAGATCATGTTAACTTAGGGAGAGGAGGCAGAGAAGGCTTCTGAAAGAGGTGGCACCTGAGCTGGGTCTTAAAGGAAGGGATGCAGAAGAAAGGCCCCACTGAGAAAGGAAGCTGGAGAACAGCAGAGTCTGACTAGGGTCCATGAAGGGGAAAGCAGGAGATAAAGATGGGCCACAGAGTAGGAGAGAAGGCTGAAAGACAGGCTGGCCCCAGATGCTGGAAGAGCCAGAATCAGTCTATACTTTATTCGGCATCTGGGTGGCAGAATGGGTAGAGCCCTGGGCCTGGAGTCAGAAAGACCTGAATTCAGACACTTACTAGCTATGTGATACTGGGCAAGTCCCTTCACCTGTCTGCCTCAGTTTCCTCATCTGTAAAATGGGCATAACAATAGCCCCTACCTCCCAAAGTTGTTGTGAGGACCAAATGAGCTAACATTTGTAAAGTGCTTATCGCAGCATCTGACACGTAGTAGGCACTTCATAAAATACTTATTCCCTCCTCTACTTAGTAAGCAGTGTGGAATTCAAAGCAGGTTTTTAAGGTAGAGAAGTGGCATGATTAGAAATGTTGGACAGATGACTCCAGCAGTGGTATAAAGGCTGAAGGGGAGAGGCAATGGTCTGAAGATAAGAAGATGAGCTAGAAAACTATTATGATACTTTAGATCAGAGGCCAAGGTTCGAGATTCAAATCCGGTCCACACCTGTTTCCCTACGGCCCATAAGCCAAGAACGGTTTGCTGGATTTCGCCCGTGAGTTATAGTTTGCTGACCCCTGGTCCAGATGAAAAGAGATCAGAAGGGGAGAGTCTGTGATTTCACTGGCACAGGGAACCCCCTCTCTCAGAGCAGCTCAGCCCCTTCTCTGCCACTTAGGGTCTCAGAGAATTTCCTAGAGGACCAAGCAGTTACAAGTGGCTTGTCCAGGGTCAAAAGGACAGTATGCATCAAAAGCGGGATCTGAAGCCAGATCTTCCTGCTTCGGGTCCAACTGTCTGTCAACTACACCACACTGCTTCTCAGAAGACAAGACTCAGTCACCTGTACATTAGTTTAATGGTTATAAAGCATCCTGCAACCTAATAGAAATAAGAAACATAGGCTGTGAGGGGCTAAGGTGCTAGGTGGCACCACAGTGCACATAGCGCTGGGCCCGGAGTCAGGAAGACCTGGGCTTAAATCCAGCCTCAGACACTCACGAGCCGTGTGACCCTGGACAAGTCACGTCACCTCTGTTTGCTTCAGTTTCCTCATCTGTAAATGGGGATAATAAAAGTGCCTACCTCCCAGGACTGTTGTCAGGATCAAATGAGATAATAATTGGAAAGCACTTAGCACAGTGCCTGGCACATAATTAAGCACTACATAAATGTTAACTACTATTAATATTTGTAAAGCACTTAGCACAGTGCTCGGCACATGGCAGGTGCTACAGAAATACTTGCTGCTTTCTCTTCCCTCCCAAGGTCCCATGGCTAGTATACGTCAGAGTTGGTATTCTGGCCCGAATTACAGGACCATTGATTTAGGCCTGGAAGGGACCTTCGAGGTGACAGAGGCCCAAAGTGAAGTGACCTGCCCAAGGTCACACAAAGTGAGCAATAAAAGTGGGATCTGAACCCAGGGCCTCTGGCTCCAAATTCAGCATTCTCTCTAATGCTCTCTACTGTCTCTCCTGGACTGCCAGGTCTGAAGGGCCCCCCAGGCGAAGGAGGCAGGAGCAGGCTGTTCACAGGAGGTGCCCAGACAGAGAAACTGCATTCTAGTCTGTAATTCAGGCAAAGTAACCATAATGCTGGGAAGGACAAGCGACCAAGAAGCTGTTGTTATTGTTGTTTTCTATCACGTAGCTTAATCAGATTATACTGAGGTATGAATGAGGACAGTTGAAATGGAAGCGAGAGGAGGGAGCGGCTGTCAGAGACTGGGGGGCTCCTCAGGGCCCCAATCAAGGCTCCCCACGTGCATCCTAACAAAAGCCTCCTGAGGACCATTAAGGAGGCCCTCGGGAGGAGGACTATCTGTTATTGTTTTTACTTATATAAATTAACATGTTAAAACGTATAAACCGGTATGGGTGAGGTTGACTAAAAACATCTCTGGCAATAGCTGAAAAGAAAACACACATAAATTTAATTTGCAGGAAAATATGTACCTATCAGTATGTATGCACTACATATGCATGTGCACATATGCACACATGTATTGCAGTGTGTGTGCGCGCGTGCACATACATGCATACCGCATGCATGTGCAGTGTACTGTACAGCTGTGTGTATGTTATAAATACGTATGTGTAATACACACATGTGAATGTATGGATATTACATAATAAAGATTATCTCTATGGTGACTTCAAAAGCATATCCTCTAAGTATTATGATTCTTCTTTCTTACAGACTGCCAGCCCCTGATTGGAGCCAAGTCTCAATCATGCGCGGGAGGAGACAATTCTGACATCCCCGGCAGGGCCCCACCCTCAGGCCCCCTGCATGCTCAGGGACTGCAAGCCCATTTTGCGGTACTGTAATGAGGAGGGTAAAATGTGCACTGGCAAGTCAAGTGTTAATGGTTTTTGGCGTAGTTGTTGCTAAGGCGTCTTCAGGCCTCCCGTCTGTGTAGCTGGTTGACTGCCATGAGGAAGAATCAGGGAAAAAGCCTTCTACTTGGGGCTCTGGGATCTGGGTTCAAATCCTAACTCAGACACTTCCTACTTGCGGGATGGGGGCAGGATACTTCCCCTGAGAGCTGCAGTCTTCCCTTCTTGTAAAAGAGGGATAATAATACTTGGGTGATTGTGAGGTGAGAGCTCTGTGAACAATGAAGTTCTGGAGAAATGTGGATGAACAGAAAACCACACTGCCCAGGCCCTCTACCCAGGGCTCTCCAGGTTCTTTTCTCTAGTGCGCTGCAGGACTGCCCTCTGCCATAATCCTGAGGGGGCTACCTCTGACCCCCTGCAACAGAACCTCTCAGTGGGTGAGGGGCAGTCAGGCCTGGGAGAAGGGCCAAGACCCACACCCTGGCCCTCCCAAGCTCACCTGGGGGTTACGAATCCAGAATTCTTTCTCCCCTTCCTCTATCCTCCGGTAGGCGATCCACTCCTCCTCCAGTGACCCAGCTTGGGGACAGCTCTCCTCTGTAGTCTGCTTGTAGAAGTAGGTGGCCGAGGCAGAACGGTCCCTTGAAAGACATAGGGCTGTCTGGAGGAAGGGAATGGGAAGACAGAAGGCACTCTTCAGCCCCACTCTCCCCCTCGACAGTTCTCGACGCGGGACTGGACTTTGGCCCACGCCACTTCCTGGGTCTCCCGAGATCCTGGCTGGAGAAGAAAGCTAGAGGGCAGTTGAAGAGCTGTCACCTCTCCCCCTTAGGGTTCATCCCTCACCTGTGTTCTGGCACAGCCACCACAAAGCCACGAGAAGCCAGCTCCATGCAGAAGGCTGAGTACACGGTCCTGAGGATACAGGAGGGAGCAGACGGACTGATCAGAAGACAGACCTCCCTGTCCCAGAAGTGACCACAAAGGCTGATTCTGGGGAAGACTCATGTGGGGTCCTTCGCTTCCCGGCTCCCGGCTCCTGCCTACAACACCTTTCCCTATTCCCACTAAAAGCTCAGTTCAAGATCCCCTTCTGCAGGAAGCCATGGGGAATTCACTGAGTACATTCTCTAAGCCCAGCCAATCACAAACTTTATCCTTCCCTCTCTAGGCATTTCAACATTGTTTTATGTCTGCTGATTACAGAATGCCAGCATCTGAGTGGGGACCTCGGCCCAGACAGAAGGGCTATCCTGGATCTCCCACTGGTCTTCGAACTCCCTCAAGGGCAGGTAGCTCTTCTTGAAAACGGGGCCCAACACCAGCCCTGGAGTCAGGAGGAACTGAATTGGTATCTGGCTTCAGGCACTTACTAGCTGTGCGACCCTGGGCAAGTCACTTAACCCCAATTGCCTTAAAAAGAAAAAAAACCCAAAGAAAATAAAACGGGGCCCAAGTGGCTATCTGCCTTAGAGGGCCTTGGGCTTTATCCTACAACTTCCCAGGAAAAGGAAGCTGTCTCTCCTTTCTTGCTTCCCTCTCATTCTGTGTTTCAGTTGGCTCCTCTTTTCCCACTGATAAGATTTTCCTGGAACTTCCATTTTGAGGAAGGCCCCAGATGAGCCCCAGGCCTCCCCTCCATGCCCCTAGGCAGGTGTCTTCCTCGATCCCCTCTGCTTTCATGTGGTAGCTTCCTTTTGGATAGGGCCAGTCCTTTTTGCTTGTATTTGTATTTCCAGGGCTCAGCACAGTGCAAGACATGCAGCTGGTACTTAGTAAATGCTTGTTGCCTGTCCTTGTTTACCTCACTCCTCACCCCCAGGCTCTGATCTTGCTTCTTCCATGTCCAGAGGAAGGGTTGGCAGCAACAGGGAGGCCACTGCTGGCCAGGGGAGTCCCAGAGACCCAGACAGCTGGCTGGTTATTGCGGGGAAGGGAGCAGAGGGAGATAACTAAGGGGAAGGAAGCTGGGGAAGCCTCCCTTGCCTGCCCCCCTACTGCGCGGTGTTTTTCCCCATCAAAGTACTATTTCTCACTTCTATATGAGTGAGCATCTCTATTCAGATCTGCAGAAGCAAGAAGGTCAGATAGAAATCTTCAAAGCAAGAGAATTCACACTGCAGATGCTGGGGGACTGGAGGAGGACGCCTCTTAGCCCGGCATTCGAAGGCCTTCCATGAGGCCAAGCAGCATAAAGGAGAGAACACTAGAGCAGCAGTCCCGGGGCCTCGCTTAATTGCCCCCTCTGCCACTTCTTCTGTGGCCTCAGGGGGCTTGTCATCAATCTGCTCCTTAGTTTCTTCACCTTTGGAAGAGGTGGAGTTGAGTCCTGGCATGCTCTAACTGAAGGACCCTAGGAAATCACTTAGTCAGCCTGAGCACCAATTTCACCTTCTGTAAAATGGGAGAGATACATACACCCTTCACCTCACAAGGCTGCTGTGAGAAAGTACTTTGCAGTTTTTAAAAATGCCATAGAAATGTGAGTGATTCTTATTGTTCAGATCTAGGATTCTGCAGCCCCTTCCTGTCTTTGCCAATCTCTTGGTTCTATTTGTCCACAAAATCCTTCTGCTCTGGGCGAGTCTGGCTCATCACCACTCCATGAAAACACTGGGCACTTTCCAGCCCCGTGCCCTGGCTCCTCATGCAATTATGCCTATCTGAAATACCCTGGGGCTCTAGTTCCACCTCCCCATCTGGTCAAGGGCCAGCTCAAATGCTCTCTGCTGAAGGAAGCCTTCCCGAACCACCCTGGCTCATCTTCCCCCTTACACTTACATCACTGATAATAAGACCACGGTATATCTCCTACCACCTAGAACTATGTTCTCCTATGCACATTTCTCAATTCCCCTATAAAAGCAGAGCTCCCTGAGGGGGGAGGCTGTTTTACTCAAGCTTGAATCCCTCTCATTATGGTGGACAGTGTCTTGTGTTTACACTAGGCACCTAATACATATTTGCTGAATGCACTGAATGACTATCAGGAGGAAGACATTATCCTTCCTTTCCAGAAAGCCACCTAGGGGCAGCTAGGTGGCACAGTGGATACAGCACCGGCCCTGAAGTCAGGAGGACCCGAGTTCAAATCTGGCCTCAGACCAAACACTTGACACTTACGAGCTGTGTGACCCTGGGCAAGTCACTTAGCCCCAATTGCCTAAAAATAAAGAATTTTTAAAATTTTTAAAAAAAGAAAAGAAAAGGAAGGCCACCTAAAGGTCCTCCATCTAAGCTATCTTCCAGTGCCTTATTGTGGCACTGAGGGCCCTCTGGTCTTTCAAAACCTACATGAGTGGAGTACGAGCTGTAGCAGATACTACCAAGTTGGAAGGTCTTCATGGAGGTCTACAGTATGTTTGCCCACCTCCTCCCTAGAAGGCTGGAGATGAAAGTTTTGACCACAGCAGCTCATGAAGCAGGTCTTGGTCTACATCAGAGGAAGAAGTATCCATAATGATGAAATACTACGGGACTAGCACAGATTAGCATTAGAATGGTATCTGTCAATAACAGAAATGGAGGGAGAAAATTCACAAGATTCAGAGAGAGACCGGACCAAGGTTTGGAAGTTAGAGTTTAAGAATCTCATTTTCAGGGCAGCTAGGTGGTACAGTGGATAGAGCACTGGCCCTGGAGTCAGGAGGACCTGAGTTCAAATCCGGCCTCAGACCAAACACTTGATACTAGCTGGGTGACCCTGGGCAAGTCACTTAACCCCAGTCAACTTAAAAAAAAATCTCATTAGGAGTCATGACTGGCTTGTCAAAGGGAGCGATCTTTGGCCACTTTCCCCCAAGAGGACAAAGGGCATCATACAGCCTGATAAGCACATCTTAGATTTCTATCCACCATTTCACATCGTTAGAGGTAAATCTTCTGTAGATCTCAGTGAATGCTGGTACATTACAGGGGGCAGTATCTGAGGTAGGGAAGGGGTTTGGGTCACTCCAAAAGGTTTCATGGAGAAAGAACTCGAGTGGAAGGGGAATCTTTGTATAACAGTTACCTGGGGGCACTGCACGTGCAGTCAAAGACTTTGAGTCTCTGTGCCACTTGCCAGCTGTATAATCATGAGCAAGTCATGACCATTCTGGCTTTCATTTTCCTCATCTACAAAATGGGAATAATGCTATTTGCATTGTGGTACCTGTCTTCTGAGGTGGTGAGCCAAGTGCTTTGTAAGCTATAGAGTATGATAGGAATGTGACCCTATACAGAAAGGATAGCAAATGGAAAGAAACTGCTATTTCTCTGCTTGGCTGCTGCCCTCCGACCACGTGATCCTCTTGGGTTAATGTCTAGTAGCTTTTGCTGAATAAGAGACGGGAGAAGCAGAGAAGGGCTCTTACCTGAAGGCTCCCAAGCCATGAGAGAAGATGATCAGTGGGTACCCAGAGTCCTGTGGTTTAAAGTGGCCGTTCCAGCTGATGGGTAGGCGGCAGGATCCTAGCAGAAACATGGCAAATGGAACTCCCCATTACACCAGAGTTGGCAGCTTCGGGGGGCCAGTGAATATGGGTGACAGCAGTCGCCCTCTCAGACCCCAACAGGCAGTGGTGCTTATTTACATCATGACCATCCCATCACTCTCTTGGGGAGGGTGGGAAGAGTACAAGAAGGGGATCGATCCAGAAAGGTGGGGTTGAGAAAAGACCCAGGTTATTAGTGGTTCTAGGGGGTAGGGCTTCCAGGGATGGATCATGCCACCTAGGAGAGGAAAACAGGGGAGCAAAACATGAAGGCTACCTTGTCAGCCCACTGCCAAAAGCAGTGAGTACGAGCCCATTCCTATTCAACCTTGTTTTGCAGGCTCTGCTCCTTTCACTTCAAAAGTTGTCCTGCCTGTTTAGGGACTTCTCGAGTAGCAGAGAAGGGAAAGGAGAAGCAGGAGGTCAGTCCTACCCTTACCCATGGCCATGTTGAACAGCATCCCCCCCCAGCGTTTACTGATGTGCAGAAAGTCAGCCAGGCCAACACAGTATTCATATCGGGGGATCCACAGAGGCTGTTCAACCTCCCCCTCGGTTTCTTGGCAGGGGTAAAAGAGGCGGAAGAAGCTCCCCTGTTGGAGATAAGAAGGCAATGGCTGCTCTGGACAGGCAAGCTCCCTGCCTCAAGACAGCCTGAGTCCCTGTACTCTGGAGAACTTAGCCCAGTGCTCCAGGAAGTAGGATTACTAGGATGGATTTCGCTGGTTGGCCACAAGATGAAAGCAACAAATTTATCCTACATAGGAAGAGGTAGCACAGCTAGCAGGAATTGAGTGCCCATTGTAAGGGAGAAATCAGAATGAGAGAAAGAATGGAAAATAACTTAGAGACAGAAAAGAGAAGAATAAAACAGGAAGAAGAAGCTGGAAGCAGAGAGAGAGGAGGGGATAGAGAACAGGATGGTGGAGAGGATCGTACTAAGGAGGAAGGGAAGATATTCTTCCCCTGTGGAGAAATGGGGAGCCAGAGTATATCAACAATGACCTCAGAGGGGCCAACCTGACTCCTAAGAGCAAGACAGATGCACTATGTAGGCTAACCCATGATCCATCTGTTCTCCCATTTTTAGAAGCAGCTAAAGATGAGATCAGAGAAATCTCTCATTAGTACATCTGTTGCAACCCCTCCCCCCAGGAAGGGTTAATGGACCTGAAAGAGGTCCCTGGTGCCTGAACTCTAGAGGCCTTTCCAAGTCTTTCCCGTAGCCTAACCTATTCAAGGGAACCAACCATTAACCCTCTCTAAGGATGTTTCTAATGGGAAAGGGGAAGAGTCTAAGGGGACTGATCTTCAGGGCTCTATCACTAGAATAAACTCAGTTTCCCTATTTGGGAACTAGAAGTAAATTACCATCACATGAAATGTTGGGAGAAATGGAGAAACAGAGGATTCTCAGCAGAGGAAGGGACAGAAGCAGGACTGAGGCATCACAGCATACCTGTTGACTCTGGCCTTCCATCACATCTCCACAGCCTACAAGATGGGGGCCAGCGACAGGTGGAAGCCCCAGGGAAGGGCTGACTCCCATGGCTTTCGATGGCCTGGTCAGACCTAGGAGGACAATACAGGCAGCTCAGCCTGATGGCTGGGGCAGAAGAACAGAGGCTGCAGGGAACAGCCTGCCGCTGGCTTCCTTTATGTGTTTCCTGTTGATCATGACTACCCTCCACTAGTCTGACTCTGAGACTTGTGCAACGCTGGTTCAGCCAGAACAGCTCAGGCAAGGGCCACGGAGAAAGGGGCTAGAAACCCTCTGCATCCCTTAAAATGATCACTTTCCACTATGCTGTACTGTATTTACTATATGCTAGCATATACTATACGCTACTGTATACTAGAGTACCCACTATATGCTCACCCAGCATTATTTCAGATGCTGTAATTATTAGTGATAATAATGATAATAATAATAGCTAGAACTTATCTAGTGCTTTAAGGTTTGAAAAGTACCTTACAAAAATTAACTTATTTAATCCTCACTACAACCCTGGGAAGCGGGTTCTATTATTACCTTCATCTTATAGCTCAGGAAAATGAGGCAGACAGTGGTTAAGTGACTTGCCCAGGGTCACACAGTAAGTATGTCTGAGGCTGGATTTGAACTCAGGTGTTTCTGATACCAGGCCCAGCACTTACCCACTGCACCACTTACGTGCCATGAATTCACTGTCAAAATCAGATGCTGCTCATGCATTTTAGATGTGATTTTACTCTAAGTGGTTTTATTCTGTAACCATATTCTATATTCTGTGTAACAAACCTTAGCCTCTTCTCTGTCTCTGAGCGAAGAAGCTCATGAGTTCAAAGGTTCAGTCTCTCTCTGAAGTTAGATGCCAAAGACTTAAACTTTCCCACAATCACTGTTAGTTAGAAAACTGTTCTCAATACCCTCACAAAACATGATCTCAGCATTTCCTGCAAGGTCTTGGTGCTATCCTTGAGAAGTTTGACTAACTGACCTTGTCCCATCTTTAACAATTAAAAAGATGGTCTTGTCTACCCCCAGGGGCCTGTGAGCCTACATACCTGGGTCCTGATCAGTGACCTCAGGACAAGCTGGGACCTGTTAATTCACAGAAGCATTCCTTAGAGGTAGTGGTGGTCTTCATCCCACGTGTGGGTTATGCCCACTTTGGTAATGTAACCAGTCATGATTCCTCAACCCCATGACTTTGTCGATCCCATAACCAATGATATGACTTCTGTTGTTTTTCTGTTCCATACTTATACAAATGAATTGCACCTTCAATTCTGGGTCTCTGGCCAGAGGCAGCGCCATTCACCCATCCTTTATTAATAGGTCTGGTGCCCTATTAATAAACTCAACTTGCGTGGAGAATTGCCTCATTCACCTTTTTGTTAAATTTCACATCTGACATCACTCAATAAATGTATTAAGCACCCACGCTGTGCCAGGTGAGAGGCGGCATGTTTTAAAAGGGAGAAAGCCAGTTCTGGAGTCAAGAAGATTAGCGTTCAAGTCCTCACTTCTGACAAATCCTGGTTATGTGACTGAGCAAATCACTAAGTCATTCAGTGTTCTAGGCAACTCTCCATGATGATAAACTGCTGAGAAGGTAGTAGACTCACTGGCATTATTCAGGGAGTTTTCTCATCTGAGAGCTGCTGAGACTGATGAAATCCCAGGTGCAGTCCCTGGCTTTCTGGGCCAAAGACTGTCCTAGGTTCTGAGGATGCCAAAATGAAGCAGTCAGTTCCCTCAAGGAGCTGAAAAACGACTGGGGGAAGACAGTGTACGAGCAAGTACATAAAACAGAGATATACAAAGGAAATGCAAAGGAAAAGGGGGGAGCGAGGGCAAGCACTAGCCAGAGGAATGCAGATAAGCCTCCTGGGGAGTAAGCACTTGAGGTGGAAGATCCTCTGGGCATGCAGAACACACTGGCAAAGGTGGGAGACAGAATGCTGAATATGGGGAAGAGCCAATAGGCCAGTTTGCTTGGAACAAAATGATCATGATGCAATCATGCAATCAGCCTGCAAAAGTAGCATGGAGTCCAACCGTGAAAGACTTTAAATGTCAAACAGAAGAGCCTGCATTTTATCCTAGAGGTACTAGGGAGCCACTGAAGCTTCGTGAGCTTCAGGTGTGAGCTCTGTGCCCAGCAGCTGCCTGCTGCAAACCACACAGTCAAACAAGAGAGCCTTTGATGGGCACAGGGCTCGCTTTCCCGAGCAGCAGAAGACTCGAGAGCACCAAAGAGGAGGGGCGCTAGATAATCAAACGATCCCGAGGTCACGTCGCACCAAGGGACAACAGGAATGCAGAGCCCACCACTGGGAAAGAGCCACCAGAAAGAAAGGGCAGCCATAGGCCAGAAGGAAGGCAGCTGCTACCCGTAACATAATGAACTCTTCCCACCTGTGTTAGCTGAACATGTTTTAAAGTTCTCCTAGCTGTGAAAAGCTAAGGTGGGGAGGCAGCGGTGGAAGACTCCAGGTGCCAGGTAGTTGGATTGGATTCTGTTAATACAACTTTTCAGCAGTTTGCATCTGGAAGGCCATGAAGTGTTTTCCAAGGAAGGGAGCTGAGAATTACATCCTACAGCTTGGTCAGGGGCAAGGACCTGTCAACCACCAGCTTACATGATCGCATCTTGGTTATCTGTGGTGGACCCAGAGAGGCAGCAGGCCAGACAGACACCAAACACCAATCAGAAACAAGCAGGCCCAAAGGAAATGCCCGCCACGATGCTCATTTCTGACTGGCTAACAGTTGCCACTCTACAAAATGGCCCTCCTGTTTCTGCTTCTACAGATCCTTCCTATCAGCCCAAGAACAGCTGTGAAAGCTGCAGCTGATCTGGGGGAAACCCTCCCTCTGTGCAGTAGACAGTGGCTTCCCAGTCTGTGGTGCTCTGGACACCGCAGCACTGCAAAGTTCTTTGGGTGGTATCCACTGGCTCACATCTGTGAATGGTAGTATCACCATACTGCTTCAAGGAAGCCTCCACATTCATCTTAGAGCTGTTCTTCATTTTTTTTTAATAATAAATTTATTTTTAGTTTTCAACATTTAATTCCGTAAGATTCTAAGTTCCATATTTTCTCATCTCTCCCTTTTCCCCATCACAAGACAGCATGTAAATTGATATAGGCTCAACATATACATTCATATTGAACCTATTTTCATCCTAGTCATGTTGTAAAGAAGAATTAGAACCAATGGGAGAAACCACAAGAAAGAAGAAACAAACTAAAAAAGAGAGACAGAGAACAAAGAATATGCTTTGATCTGCATTCAGACTCCATAGTTCTTTTTCTGAATGTGGACAGCGTTTTCCATCATGAGTGTTTTGGAGGTGTCTTAGATCCTTGCATTGCTAAGAAGAGATAAGTCTACCAAAGTTCATCATTGCAAGATGTTGCTGTTACTGTGCACAATGTTCTCTTGGTTCTATTCACTTCACTTTGCATCAGTTCATGTAAGTCTTACCAGGTTCTTCTGAAGTCAGCCTGTTCATCATTTCTTATAGCACGATAGTGTTCCATTACATTCATATACCACAACGTACTCAGCCATTCCCCAATGGATGGGCATCCTCTCAATTTGCAATTCTTCGCCACCACAAAAAGAGCTGCCGTGAATATTTCTGTACATGTGGGTCCTTTTCCCATTTGTATGATTTCTTTGCGCTCTTAATCTTTTGCTTAAAAAATCCTATAATAGCAGCCACTAGCTACATCAAGAAAATGAGGGTCAGAGTGACATGGTCAGATCTATATTTTAGGAATATTCATTTGGTAGTTGAATGGCAGACAAACTGGAGAGAGAAGAACAATCAGGAGCCCATTAAAATAGTATAGGCAAGAGGGATGAGGGCTTGAATGAAGATAGTGGCTGTGCTGAGCAGGGAGAAGGGGGTGGATGCAGGAGAGGTTAGGGAGGTAGAATCTACAAGACTTAGTACCTGACTGGATATGAGGAGGGAGGGAAAGGAAAGAATTAAAGATGATTTTGAGGTTGCAAACCTCAGAAATATGTATATCTTCCCCACTCTTAAGAAGTTTATAATCCAACTGAGAATAAAGAATTGACATGCATGAAACAATTCCAGGCCAAGTAAGTATTAAACTACAGGCCTAACCATAAGTAGAGTAGTACAGAAAGGAGAGAAGATCAGTGTGTAGTCAGGAATGGTTTCACAGAACAGTTAGGGCGTCAGCTTGAAAGATGAGTAACTAGGGCACAGATAAGAAGAGGGCAGATAACAATCATAGAATGTCAGAGCTGGAAGAGAGCTCAGAACTGAGAGCGTTAGCATTGGGAAGGGCTTAGAACGTGGCATGTCAGAGCTAGAAAGGGCCTCAAAGACAACTAATCTGACCCCCTCATTTTACAAAGGAGAAACTGGGGCCCATGGGAGGGCCTGACTTGTCCATTCTAATGAGTGGTGGTAGAACAAGGCCTGGAACTGAGGTCTTCTGACTGAGACAAAAGGTACAGAGGCAGGTGAAAAAGCAAAGTAAAGAAAGGCAAGAAGGTCTGAATGGGAAACTACTGCTTCTGAAACAGTCAGCTTAGCCTAAAATTCTTACAGAATCCCTTACCCTGATATTTAAAGTTCTCTCCCCCGTGGGCACAACCTACTTCTCCTGCCTTCTCTCCCTCCCTTACCTGAGCCCATATCGGCGTGCTCACTGCCTCTGGGCACGCCTGAGAGCTCACTGGTCTGCTACGTGGGATCATGCAGTGGCGAAGATGTAGGAAGCAACTTAGAGTCAAGAGACCAGGGTTCAGATGCCAGCTCTGATTGTTTCCGGTCTAATGACCTTGGACAAATCACGCTACCTATCTAAACCTATGTTTCCTCATCTCTGAAATACAGACAATAATAGTGGCACTGGCTGCCTCTCAGGATCGGGTGGGAAAGCTTTGTAAACCTTCACACACTACAGAAATCAGTCTTCTCCATTTTTTTACCTTTTTTTCTACCTGGGCTATCATAATAACATCACAACTGCTCTTCTTGCCTTTAAACCTCTCTACGCTCATCGCCGTCTGCATCCACACTAATACATACACATCT